ATATAGGCCTCCAAAATACTATTGGGTCTTAAAAAGAAATTATTGGGGGGGAGGGGGGAAATACTTCCAATCCGAGAGTCCTCTGGCGTTGGCTTTTGCAGTAGTTTTTGTATTGCATTCAAACTTTCATTTCCTTCTGGAATCAAAAGATACATTCCAAGCAATAGGAAAGGCACTGAAGGTGTCTTGCTTGGCTTCAGGTGGCTGAGGACAACTACCAGGCGCTGCAGAGCTTCTTTGCGAAATTCCCAGACTTTGCCAGCAACCCGTTCTACGTCTTCGGGGAAAGCTACGGCGGCGTCTACGTCCCGAGCCTGACGGCCAAGATCGCAGCTGGAGACGCCAAGGTCAACCTGAAGGTGAGGCTGAGTTCAGCAAGTGGAGCGTTTGTCTGAAGAGAGCGGGCAGGTGAGAGCAGCCCAAGGCACACCTGACTCAGGGACTCTGGGCCCAGTTCTTGCATGGATGCCTGGGTCAACGGGGCCGCCCTCTTGCATTTGTATAGGGATCGCTTCTCTGTTCAGGGGTCCAGCATTCAGTTAAGTCTTCCTGCTCCCCTCCTTGTTCTTCCTTTTCTTCCTCTTCTTCTCTTCTGCTTCCTCTTCATCTTCTTCAAGCTTCTCATTGCCTCCTCCTCTTCCTCCTTCCTCTTTTGCCTCTTATTCCTCTTCATCCTCTTCTAGATCCTCCTCCTCATCCCGTTCTTTTTCTTCCGCATCATCTTCTTCCTCATTATCATCCTATTCTTCCTCCTCCTCTTTATCTTTTTCTTTCTCTTCCTCTTCTTCTTCCTCCTCCTTTTCTTCTTCCTCCTCCTCTTCTTCTTCTTCCTCTTATTTTCCTCCTCCTCCTCCTCCTCTCTTCTTCTCTTTCTATGCTTTGTATCCTTCTCTTCTACCTCCCCATCTCCTCCTCCTCATTCCTCTTTCTCCCCTTATACCTCTTCATCCTCTTCTAGATCCTCCTCCTCCTCCCGTTCTTTTTCTTCCGCATCATCTTCTTCCTCATTATCCTCCTCCTTCCTCTTCTTTTCTCTTCCTCTTCTTCTTCCCCCTTTCTCCTTCTCTTCTTCCTCTTATTTTCTTCTTCCTCTTCCTGCTTCCTCCTCTTCATCCGCTTCTAGATCCTCCTCCTCCTGTTCTTTTTCTTCCACATCATCTTCTTTCTCATTATCCTCCTCCTCTTCTTCCTCTTCTTTTCTCTTCCTCTTCTTCTTCCCCCTTTCTCCCTTTCTTCTTCCTCTTATTTTCTTCTTCCTCTTCCTCTTCTTCTTCCTCCTCCTTTTTCTTCTGATTTCTCCTCTTATTCCTCTTCATTCTCTAGATCCTCCTCCTCATCCTGTTCTTTTTCTTCCACATCATCTTCTTCTTCATTATCCTCCTCTCCTTCCTCCTCTTCTTCTTTTCTTCTTCCTCCTCCTCTTCTAGCTCCTCCAGCTTCTCCTCCTCATCTCCTTCTTCTGCTTCTTCTCTATCTCCCCTCCACCTCCTCTTTCGCCATTCATCTTTTTCTCTCCTGATTTTCTCCCAGGGGTTTGGCGTGGGCAACGGCATGACCAACTATGACCTCAACGACGAGACCCTGATGGAGTTCTGCTACTCCCACGGAGTCTTTGGAGATGAGTAAGTCAACAGGAAAGGGCCTGAGGCTGTTAGGAATTGTGGGAGTTGGAGTCCACCTGGAGGGAGGGCCGAAGTTGGCCCAGTCCTGGCCCATTCCCTATGGGTTGCTCCCAATGGGAACTATCTAACTGAATCAGAGGGATCCTCAGATTGTATAGGGTGATGATGATGATGATGATGATAGTCAGTAGTCCTTTGGGTGCCTTCAACATGGCGAGCCTCAGTCTCCCTGCCATCTTACTTTGTGCCATCCATCAATGAGTGCCGCCCCATCAATATTTGTCTTGCTCAATGCAGCCTGTGGACCTCCTTGAATGAAAACTGTTGCAGTGACGGGACCTGCAACTACTCCGACAACGACAACAGCAACTGCATCACAGCCGTAAGTCTCTTTGGCAGGAAGCAAAAATCCATTGCGGCATGGAGCTTGCAGGACCTTGTTGAGTTACGTATTTAAATTGTGTTCTATAGCATAACACTTAAATGGACATGTGTATATGTGTGTGTTTGTGTATATATATGTGGTTTTGCACATGTGTTGTAATGTGCTTT